GGGTTCGGATCCCACATACAGACCGATTCCCGCTCACTGGCTGAGCGAGGCGCGGGAGCAGTGCCGAGGGATGCGATCCCGTTGCCGGTCCCAGTCCGGTACGGGGGCGACACTGAGGGTTGCTATCCGTTGCTGGACACAGAAAAAGACAAAACAAACAAACAAAAAAAAAGAAATCATCAAGAATTTTTTTCCTTTTCTTCTCAAATGAGAAATTCAATTTTTATCTTAAGAAATTGCCTGTTGAATTATTAAACTAAATTCAATGTAGCCCCCCAAAATATTAGCAATGCATTTGAGTTTCAATTGCAAATCTAATTAAAAAGCGTTCTAACATTTATAATTTCAGTATTAGATTAAAATAAATGTAGAATCAATTCACATTCCAGATTCAAGTGACATGCCTTTTTACAAAGGCATATGATGCTTTTTTACATATTATGTAATATTTGTTATATATTATATATTATTATAAAGGCATACAATGTTTCAGTATATATTTTGATATTATATGTGCAGGAAACACTGGACCTATAACTTTTTGGGGGGGTGAACTGTAACTTTTAACATTATACTAATTATATTTCAACTTTATTCAGTAGATTAAGACAAATGGAATATGGAACTGCAAAACAGTTAAATGCATACGGGGTAGATACAAATTTTTGGTGAGACACTGAGAGTTGAAATATGGATATACTGATATGTATAGACCTTCTCACTAATGGAGTAAATTCATATTAAAGCAAATATGAAAAATACACCCCTATTGTATACTTAGTTGTGTTTAAACTTCAAAGGAAATTCCAAAATAAAATGTGCTTTTGGTGAACGTTTTATAAAGCAAAACATAATTTTGATAAGTGTATTACTTGGTAGGAGTAACACAAGAGCATTTCTGAAAATAATAACAATATTTAATAGAAGTTTTGGAAATGTTGCTATTTTGCTTCTAAATGCAAGACATTGTGAACAATTTGGAGGTACAGCTTTAAGTAGTGCCCCACCCAAAACCTGGAGTGGTTCAGCTGTGAAAGTGAGATGTTATGTAAAGTTAAAAATTAACTTGAAAACTCCACAAACTTCAGAACTGGGAACGAGATCCACATTTGAAGCTAAAAGTTCACATAAAGCAGATTCCCATTGAAACAAGCGACTGCATACTGTTAAAAATAAAAATGAAAAATTTCTTCCTGACATTTATTCATATGGGAAATAAGACAAGTGTGGTGCATTCCAGAAGCCAGTACATGAAAAGGGGGGATCCACAGAGTTGTGCACCATGAGGACGTGAGTTGTTTGGCCAAGGAGCATAAGTTACAAAGGACGGGGAAGGGATGCACTTTGGAAGGGGCCAAAGATTGTCATCTGCAGAGAGATCATCAAAGTTACCTGGCCTCCTTCCCTCTTCTCCTGCCACCCACCTTGAAACCATGCTCCACTAAAAACAAAACCCAACAAAAACACATTTAAAAAAGTGTGTTCATGAATGTTGGAAATCTTGGCATGAGGCAGTTAAAAGTCATGCACCATCACAGCATGTGGAGAAAGAACAAGTCCTGGTTTTGATCCGGGCTCTGAAACTCAATAGCTGTGACTTCTGGAAGTTACTTAAACTCTTGATTCTCTTCTCACATCTGTAAAATAAGGACAATAATAAACAACCTTGCAACCTAGTGGGGATGAAAGGCCATGGCAGGTACTAATCCAATGGCAACTTTTCCTCCTGTTCCCCATTATAATAAATAAAATACCATCTGCACAAAAAGCAGCATACATAATATTAAAATAAGCACATTATGGAGTAAGTATATTTATAGAATGCTCAAAAAATTAATAATATATGCTTACTGCTTTTGTATCAAAATCAGGAATTTTGCTGTATAGGCAGAAATCATCAAGAATTTTTTTCCTTTTCTTCTCAAATGAGAAATTCAATTTTTATCTTAACAAATTGCCTGTTGATTTATTGAATTAACTTCAAAGTAGACCCCCAAAATATTAGCAATGCATTTGAGTTTCAATTGGAAATCTAATTAGAAAGCATTCTAACATTTATAATTTCAGTATTAGATTAAAATAAATGTAGAATCAATTCACATTCCAGATTCAAGTGACATGCCTTTTTACAAAGGCATATGATGCTTTTTGACATATTATGTAATATTTGTTATATATTATATATTATTATAAAGGCATACGATGTTTCAGTATATATTTTGATATTATATGTGCAGGAAACACTGGACCTATAACTTTTTGGGGGGGTGAACTGTAACTTTTAACATTATACTAATTATATTTCAACTTTATTCAGTAGATTAAGACAAATGGAATATGGAACTGCAAAACAGTTAAATGCATACGGGGTAGATACAAATTTTTGGTGAGACACTGAGAGTTGAAATATGGATATACTGATATGTATAGACCTTCTCACTAATGGAGTATATTCATATTAAAGCAAATATGAAAAATACACCCCTATTGTATACTTAGTTGTGTTTAAACTTCAAAGGAAATTCCAAAATAAAATGTGCTTTTGGTGAACGTTTTTTAAAGCAAAACATAATTTTGATAAGTGTATTACTTGGTAGGAGTAACACAAGAGCATTTCTGAAAATAATAACAATTTTTAACAGAAGTTTTGGAAATGTTGCTATTTTGCTTCTAAATGCAAGACATTGTGAACAATTTGGAGGTACAGCTTTAAACTTAAACTCTTGATTCTCTTCTCACATCTGTAAAATAAGGACAATTATAAACAACCTTGCAACCTAGTGGGGATGAAAGGCCATGGCAGGTGCTAATCCAATGGCACCTTTTCCTCCTGTTGCTGTGCACTGTGTTGTTTGCAACAATCCAGGGTATTTGCATTTCTCTAAGAATTCCATTTAACTGATATTCCATTTTTTCCCCCACAGGTAAAACCCCTGGTGGAGACATTTTCCCCAAGCCCACTATTTTTCTTCCTTCAATTGCTGAAATGAACCTCCATAAGGCTGGAACATATCTTTGTCTTCTCGAGAATTTTTTCCCTGATGTTATTAAAGTGTATTGGAAAGAAAAAAATGGCAATACAATTCTGGAATCTCAGCAGGGAAGTACCATGAAGACTAACAACAAGTACATGAAATTGAGCTGGCTGACAGTGACTGAAAAGTCACTAGATAAAGAACACAAATGCATCGTCAAACATGAGAATAATAAAGGAGGAGTTGATCAAGAGATCCTCTTTTCCGCAATAAAGAAAGGTATGTGTATATAAATGTAAGTAGAACCTCCCAGGAAACTTATCTGAATGGGAATGCCCCACCTTTTTCTGCCTGGATGTTACATTTAATGGTAGCATAAATGCTCTGCTATTTCCCATTGAATTAAAATGGTATGGGTGTTGGAGAAAAAAAAGGAAAAATTTACTTAAGCTTTTTCAGCTTCAGCTTCATCATCCAAAATATTAAGGTCACATGATGTTTTATAGAATTTTTTTTTTTTTTTGTCTTTTTCATGACTGCTAAGGGGATCGCAACCCTTGTGTTGGGGTTGCCCGCACCGCGCTCAGCCAGCAAGCGCACCGGCCATTCCTATACAGGATCTGAACCCGCAGCGGGAGCGTCGCTGTGCTCCCAGCACTGCACTCTCCCGAGTGTGACATGGGGCCAGCCCTTTTTAAAGAATTTTTATATGGATTAATGACACAAAATATGGGAAAGAACCTGGCAGCTTAACACACAGTAAATGTTCAGGAAGGTTTCCACTTTTCGTGACTTTACTTGGTCAGGAAGTAAGCACAACTGTATGTCTTGGAGAAATGTTCCACCAAGGAAGCAGCATCAACACTCCCTGTAATCTTGCTGTACACAAAGTTTAAGTACAATGAGATCTTTTTTTCAAAATGGTATTCACGTAAAGGAGCCAGAGCGCGACTCAACGAAAATTGAACTAACCTTGGCTGCTGCAGTTTTATGGCAGCCTTGGGTTTTTCAGATTTTTATTTTA